CCTTGGCGACAGGACTCAGTGACTGAGTCCTGTCCTTGCATCACTTTGAGGTTGCTCTTTCTGCTCAAAGTGCCTGCACTCAGAGGAGGTCATTGGAATCAACAGCATGTGGCTTGTGGATGGGGATACATTAGGCTAAGTCAGACTTAGAACTGGAACACTTTAATACAGTGGTACCTCGGTTTACAAACTTATCCCGTTCCTGAAGTCCATTCTTAAACCGAAACTGTTCTTAAACCGAGGCGCGTTTTCTCTAATGAGGCCTCCCGCCGCCAATGCCCTTCCACCGTTCAGATTCCGTTCTTAGACCAAGGTAAAGTTCTCAAACCAAGACACTATTTCCGGTTTTGCGGAGTTTGTAAACCGAATCGTTCTTAAACTGGACTGTTCTTAAACCAAGGTACCACTGTATAGGAATGCTCTTGCTATGCCCCCACATAGGAGCAACAATATTGTAAAGAGGGAGATATTTCAAGCTAATAGCGAGTTTGAATCTGACACCAATAGGCAGCCAACCCGACACCCTGCTGCCTTTTTTTGGAACTATTGATTAGTCTTCTGAGTCAGTGAGTGCAGAAAGACTTTCTGTAATCCTTATGCTATTGTACACCTTTTATTGACGTTATGCTAAATAACAGAAAAGCCACTCATTGATTTTTCTTGCAAAGATCAAATTTCCTAGCCCAGAATAAGCAAACATGTAATCTACTAATGGAATGAACTGCAGAGAAATAATAAAAAGAAAAAAACCTCGAGGAGATATATGATTAGTTTGGAAGCCACTTAGCAAGCACTTATCGTTAAACTACTTTTATAGAATTTCCATACTTTGCTGAGACCAGATGAAATGTGATGGCATTTTGAAAGAACACCTAGCTAATGGTCCCCTCCCTCCCTCCCTCCCTCCCTTCCTTCCTTCCTTCCTTCCTTCCTTCCTTCCTTCCTTCCTTCCTTCCCTTCTTTCTCCCCTTAGCTGCTGATAGAGAATACTTAGCTCATATCTCATATCACTATGCGTCAGCCCAAGGCCAACTCACTTAGAAAGCAAATGGGGCATTTGTCCTCCAGAAGAGGGAACCAACCAATCAGCTCCTGAAGGTCCCTTCCTGTTGCCTAGCAACTACTACATAAGCCTTTGTCTTGGCTCCGCAAAATTGCCAAATCAGAACTTAGCATGGGTATCACAAGCCATTGCATACCTGAACATGACAGTGGCTGGAACAAGGGAAGAAAGAGTGCATGGCACTAGGAGAAGGTCGCATAGCCTGCGCTCCCCCCAAAGAATGTCCCAGCACTTGCTGTGTGTACATAGTGAATTTCTGCCTTTGAATATGCTTTGTTTGACTTGACAACTTCCAGTTATCAGATAAATCCATCACAGTGGCTTGCCAAGCTGCCAACAGAGGCTGGAGACCATAGCGCAGCATGAGGAGCCAAGGAGTTTTCATCTGTGGGCAAGACAGTGGAAGACACCAATATCTCTCCAAAGGAGCCTCCTGGAGAAATATGTTCAAATCTCTGTTCTTAGGAAATAGGAAGGCACCTTCATCTCAAATGTACGTGTTAAAAAATTAATTAAACCATGAATTCCATCAAGAAATAACAAAACCCTGATTTGACCAACAACCAATTTAGGAATTCTTCAAGTTGGAAACCAGGCAGCAGATTCAGAACTGAGCAAACTGAAATTTATATTTAGGTATAATTTAAAATATGCTATCAATATTTTACTAGCACTCCAGTTTGTCCATGGAAATTTTCACGACTGACTTTGCTACTTTCTAGAGTGGATTCTAAAATTGTATCTCAAGGACCTCCTTGAAATTTCTCAGGAACACTGAGCTCCTGTACACAGCTTTATCTATGGGCAACCACCACTAAAAGAAATTTTTAAAAAGCATAGTGTTACACTATCAGAGCTGAAGGTTACATAGCCATAGACTCTACATTTTGAACACACAACATGGATGTGCTGTTCCAGAATGCGGTTGTTAAAAAAAGGTGTTCTGAGATACTGTGCTGTTATCTCTCAGTGTCTCCAGATTGAACGTGCTCTATCCTTTGGTAAGAACATCAATTCCACAAGTCCCAGCTTGCTAGTTGAAGCATGAGATCCAAAAGAGACACTGAGTTCTTTCTGGCCCGTTCGTCTTCAGCAATAACGGCTCTTTGATTCCTTGCTAATTAATAATCCCGTAGAGGGCAAACAAAACTGGAACGCAATCTAGCTGAGTCTCCAAGGACTTTATTGGCTTTGCAAAGCTTAGAAAAGTAGGAGAGGCCATTATTTTTAGTCAGCAAAATAAATAGATGCAACTCTAAAAATACAAACATAGGGAAGACAGATCAGTCGGGGGTTGTTAGAAGGTGCCTTAGGTGCCTTTTGATGATGGGATGTTCTCCCCCTCATAGTGCAAACTAATCCAGTAACAAAATGAATTTTCTAGGGCTACCTGCCTTTCAGTTGATGTGAACACGTCTACCCAGAACCAAGACCCACTTGCTTCCAGGTACTTGCTTCTAGGTAAATGTGCATAGGGTCGCAAGCCTACTGAGCAATCTGACTGCATATTTATGGTGGAAACGGGAAAACTCTGCTGGCAGAGCTTCCACCATACCCACTGCCCTGCCATTTTGCTGTGGGCATGGTAGGAGGTGCAGAGGACAGCTCCCCCCATTTCCCAAATTATGTATCATTTCTGTGAGCATGTTGAGGAAACAAAGGGGCTTTGACATATCAGCACCTGCCCCTACCAGAACACTGACATATCCTTCTCTCCCACTCCACTGTAGCTGAATGGTAGAGCATCTGCTGAGTAAAAGTCTCAGGTTCAATGTCCAGCATTTTCCAGTTGGGCTGGAAGCGAACCCTACGTGAAAGTCTTGAAAGACAGTGTCAGTCCGTTTAACAATATTGATCAGCAATGCCAAATGACAACTGTGTGTGGGCAGTTCCCCCGCACAGGGTGCCGAGCTGAGGGGCCACATCATCATCATCATCATCCCTATGCTGTATTTATACTACTGATAAAATCAATTTAAAATTATTTTATATTTATATTTTAATCAACTGTTTGTTTGTTTTTTTGTTTGTTTTTAAATGTTTTTACTGTATTTATATTCGGTGTTAGCCGCCCTGAGCCTGGTCTTGGCCAGGTATAAATATTTTTTTTATTATTATTATTATTATTATTAAAAAGCAACTGTACCATAATGAATTATTGTGCAAATAAGAAATATTGGGGGGGCACCAAATTCTGCCCCAGTTCAGGGTGCCATATTATCCAAGTCTGCCCCTGTAGATCAGTGTTGAGATGATGCTGAGATAAAAGTACCTCGGGGGGGGGGGGGAACCTTAATGGCATCATTACAGGAAATAAGATTAAGGAATGTTAGTTTCATTGCAGGAAATGTAAATGAAAAATGTCCTCCATCCCACCCACCAAACGTTGAGTGTTGAGGCTCAACAAGTCAACGGTGGGAGGGAGAGAGAGGGGGGAAGGAAAGAGAAATTATTATCTGTCCAAGCATCAGAATCCCATTCATTTCATTATACCCCTAAGTGCAAGACATTCCAAGAAACTTGCCAATTAGCTTGAATATTTCTATAGAATAGCTTTAATAATCATCATCCTCATATAGCTAAAACGAGTAACTCGCTTATCCAAATATCAGGATGTGCAGAAATGTCTACTTTCACAGTCGCACGAACAACTCCTTGAACCGTTAATGATGTATACAAATTCATGCCTCTTTAGATATGACTCAACCGTGGGGTTTTGCTGTTGTTAATGTCAAAAAGACTGAACCCCAAACTATATCAATATCCTTTCCTTATGACCAGAAATGGTTCTAATGTTAGACAAGCGCTCAGAAGCCCAGCACCTTCAGTGAAGGGTTCAAGACATGTATTTAGATTATTAATATTATATTATGACTCCTAAACTGTTATAATCTCTTTGAGAAACAACTTCCAAATAAAAGAGACAATTTGGGGAAAGGAAGCAGAAAAGTAAGGGCGATTTTGGGTGAGTGTAACTAGATGCTTATATAACCTTTCCAGAGCTGTACTGTGTGCTTGACCAATAGATGTTTATGAACTTGCCGTTTACTAAGTCAGATCCTTGGTCCATGTAGCCTAGCACTGCCTACAAGAGTGGTAGCCATGGGAGTGCATTTCCCATTATCCCTGACCTTTGGCTACGCTGGCAGGGGCTGATGGGAGTTGGACTCCAGCAACACATTTGGTGACTCCAGTTTACACTGATTTGCAATGGCTCTCCAAAGCCTTGGGCCAGGGGTGGGGAATCTGTGGCCCTCCAGATGTTGTTGGACTATATCATCTCTGACTATTGGCCTTGTCGGTTGGGGATGATGGGAGTTGGAGTCCAACATTATTGCCAGGGAGGAAAAGAGGTCCTTGTGGAATTTTCTAAGGGTTAGTTACTATGCATTGTGACTCGCCCAGGGTGGGCAGAGAACGTCTTTTGCTCTTCTGCCTTAGGCAGCAAAATGTCCGGCTGGTTATACTATCCCTTTAAAGCACATCCAAAACACATTTTTCCACACGAAGAATTCTGGGTGCTGTAGTTTGTTAGGGATTGCTAGGAACTACAGTGCCCAGAATTCTTCGGGGGAAAGAATGTGCGTCAAATGTACTTTAAAGGTATAGTGTGTGTGTGTGTGTGTGTGTGTGTGTGTGTGTGTAGGATTGGATTTGGAAGTGGAGACACGAGAAGGTCCAGGGATGGAATGAAAGGTGGCTTGCAGTAGTTCTGAGCAGGTCTGAGGGGTACCAGTGCAGAAGGTAACTGTCCACTCACCTAAAATCTACAGCTTTGAGAAATGACTTTAGCTGGGGGAGGGGGCACTGCTCTTCCACCCCACCCCAAAGAAAAAGAAGAGCCACATTTCAGAGAGAGTTAGGAATGGGCAACCTAATACCTTCTGAATTCATGGAACCCGCCCCACCCCCATGTGGCTTTGCCCTACCTGGACCAACCTGCAGCACTTGATAAATGATGCAGAGATCATCCGTTTGCTTTCACAAGGGAATCCATGAGCCTTGACATGTCTTTCAGGTTTATACTGACAGCTCACTGCAGCGTGTGGCAACTAGTAGTCGGAAGGAAGGAAGGAAGGAAGGAAGGAAGGAAGGAAGGAAGGAAGGAAGGAAACGAAATACTGGGCTCAAGTTGTCTAGAGAGTAAAAATATAATGGCAAACAATGCAAACTACAACCCTGCAAGATCCAAAGGATGAAATTACCCACCAAATTATCTTACCTTTCTTTTTCTTCTCATCTTGGTTTCTCCCTGCTCCCCTACACCTCCCTTTGTCTGGCTGTCTTAGCTTATTTTCCCAGGTTCTTTTCAGCTAGGTTACTATAGTGTGGATTTAAAGGCAGCCGTCAGGCTGAATAATGCTTGAGGAGGAGAAGAAATGAAATCACCTAGAAAGAAGGCAAACAGATTAGCAGGCGGGGGGTGTGTGTGAATGCAGACTCTCTAATCATACAAAATGAGTTCCCTCTTTAAAGGCATACCGTGTGTGTGTGTGTGTGTGTGTGTGTGTGTGTGTGTGTGTGTATCCATAAACAAATGCACTTGCTCCTGGAACATTTGTTTCAGCCTATGGATCTTAGACACAAATAAATGCAATTCCAGACGAAAGCTTTGTGATAGTGCCACACCAATGACATCGGGCCAATGTGTCAATATGTTGCTCAGCTGATTGGCAGCTTTGGACAGCTCTCTACAAAATTTGGACCACCCAACTGCTGCTATCTTGGCACATTTGCTGCTTAGTAAGAGTACAGCACAGCCAGTTTAAAAGATACTGCGGCTCCATTACTTCCAGTGACAAAGTTAAGCACAGGATGGTCTCATCTCCATTGATTCAATGGGTCTTCTGACTCCTGGATCCAGCAAGTGTTAAAATATAAGCCAGTCTAGCTTCCTGGTGAGGTGATAGCCTAGGTAATGGGCCATTAAGGGAAGAAAGGAAGTGGATCTGTGCCAGACGGAAAATGGGTGGACCCCCTCCCTCAACTAGCTGGTAGTTGGAAGCTGCCCAGAGTGGCTGGGTATAAATAATAGATATTATTATTATTATTATTATTATTATTATTATTATTATTATGGCGGGGGAAGGCCAGAAAGGAGAGTTGAGTGATGTGAGCTAGAAGCTGGAAAAAAGCTGCCAACAGGGAAGCCAGAGAGAGTCAGAGCAATGTTTGATTTCTGTTTCAACCCAAGGTTGTGGTTATGGGGGAGGAAGACCTTATTGGGTGCTGTGAACTTCTCCATTGTAAGCTCAGGTTGTATATATGTGTAAATAAACCATATATCATAAAGACACCACAGTCTCCACTGCCCCTCATTCCCAGGAAACATGAAGCCTGGGTAAATGCTTGGAACCCCTGGAATCTCACACTGCTTGGTGATTGGGGTGGCGCACAACAAAACCACGACTGAAATTCTAGGTTGGGTCAATTTTGATAGGCAGGTGGACTGAATTAACAGTACACACTTGTGCATGGACCTTCATTCTGCTCAGGCACATTGTACATTTCAGTTCCACAAAATTTCCACTTTTCTCATTTTCTGCTCATTCATACTTGCTGTTGGTGTTTGGTTTGAGAAGACCACACACCGAAGAGTCCTGTGCAGTAGTACTAAACCACAATTGTCTGCACTGCAGTCATAAGACAAAATGCACATTGCACAAGTCAGACAACACAAGACCTAGAAAATTATGAAGGAAGGAAAGAAGGGAGGGAGGGAGGGAGGGAGGGAGGGAGGATCATATATCAGATCACTGTAGCACTCTTAGCCCAAGCTGCAGGTATTGTAAAGGTGCCTACTAGTTATGCAAATTGGAATGCTTTTGCTTTATTTTATTTAGAAAGCAAGAATGTTGCCTGAGAAATTCCACCAGGCAGCAAAAATAATGATGTCCAGAAAACCATCTGAATTAGTAACAGTGCACTCCTCTCTTATGCATGTTTACATAGAAATATGTCCCATTAAGCCTAGTGGGACTTATTTCCAAGTAATTTTGCATAGGACTGAGCCATTAGTGCTCTAATTAAACGCATTCCTTCAGCTATTTCTATCAGGGTTTCACACAGAAAGAATTATTAAACCTATTTTGTAATGGAGGAAACTACGAGGAATTCGGTGTTTCTGCAGTATTGCTGTTTCTTCCATCTTTATCCTAGTTTAATTGAGGTGGATCTGCTACTAACATAGACTGAAGTTTCATCATCTCAGTAGCTCAAATGGGTCAGGCCTGCTTTCTGTAGATAGTATGGTTTGGGTACAATTTCCTAGCCTACTAAGGAGTGATCCCTACTGCAAACAATGGCTTCATTTTATCTTCCTTGCAATGCTGCATTTTCTTTCAGATAATGTCTTTGCACATTCCAAACACACATGAGGCTATCAGTCCTTCTCTACTTTCCCCCTGTGCGCCACTGATCTTCTGTATTGAAAAGAATATTAAAATGGTGGCCTGGAAACCATTATATACAATCTGTGGCACTGAAGCATGGGTCTTCACATCCAGCTTTCCAAAAAATATAGCATTGGTCCATATCATTCAAAAAAACCTCATTCAAATTACTGTTTTCCAAAACATTCTGAAGTCAACACAAGAGTTCATTGCATACCCATTGCACAACACAGCATGTATTGAAATACTTGCAAAAAACTAGGTACCAGCAGGACGTGCTGTAATGCACAAGACAAGTTCAAATATGTAATTCATTGGAGGAAAAAATTATATTACTGGCTTTCAACATGTAAAATCTGCTCAGGTGACCTGGGATCTTGTGTGCCACAACCTGAAACAGCAGCTATCAAAGTGCATCGATGCCAGGGGTCAGCAACCAGCTTCATTTATGGGCTCCTTAGAGTGAAAAGGACCAAGCATATCACCATGTGACCCACTGGAAATTCTGGGTATTCGTATAATCTTAGAATTGGAGAGGGGCTTTGGAAACAATCTAGTCTGGCCTAAGGTTACCAGACGTCCCTGTTTCCCGGGGACAGTTCCCAGATTTACAAACCAGTCTCCATACAAAATGCATTGAAGTTGAAAAGTGTCGCTGAATTCATTGGAAAAAATCTGGTAACCTTAGTCTAGCCCCTGCTCATAGCTGTCAACTTACAGATTTGAAAATAAGGGACCAGCAGCCTCGAAAATATGGGATCAGCAGCCAAAATAAGGGATTTTCCAAGAACATGTTCAACTTCTGAGCCCCTCCAAGCCAAAGGCAGAAAACTCAGCCAGCAGCCAAACAAAGCCTCAAGCGGTGGTTCCCACAGTGCAGCAACCACCGTCACCTCTCCGCTGGGAAGCGCTGAGCAAAGGCGAGTCCCCAGGCAACACAAGGCATGCAAGCTCCACACCCCCTCCACTTGATCGGCACAAGGCATGCAAGCTCCACACCCCCCCCAGTCGTTCTTAGACTCCTTATTGGGTGAGCAACACAGCCAAGCAACACAGTTGGAGCCTCCCTCCTACCTGGCCAACAGGGAGGGAGGGAGAGGAGCTGCTTACTTTGAAACCCGGGAAATTTAAGGGACATCATCAATAAGGGATAGCAGTGGGACACAGCGCTGGGATAAGGGACTTTCCCGCCAAATAAGGGACGGTTTACAGCTATGAAACAGTTCTCTCTTAGGTCTGCTCCCAAGCCCCACCACCTCACACACTCATGATTGGCTAAAGGGCCACACAGGCACCTCCAAGGAAAGAGGGGGAACCCAGCCCCCACCCTGGCCATGTCAGAGCTGCAGCAGCCGCTCCCAGCGTGGTGAGGCAGGAATGGGTATCTAGAGGGAATAATATGGAAGATGATTCCTTGCTTCTCACATCTCTCTCTCACACCACTGCCTCTTGCCTTTCCAAATCGAGAAAGCAGACAAAAAATGAGGCATTGCCTTTATTTTGCACCACTATGCCTTTGTTTGTCCCCCCTCCAATCCCTCTGTTACAGCTTCAAAAAGCATGGCAATACGGAAAGTAACAGAGGTTTTGTTTTTAGTGGCAGGGGCAGGTGTGGACAGCTTACCTCGTAAGACTTGCAGGACCACATCATCTCCCTCCCTGCCCGTAGAGTACACACAAGTCTCACAGAATCCTCCCATGTATCTTCTGATAGCCACCATTAAAACCTACCTGTCAAGGAAATGTCTGCTCCAAAGATGTGGAATTGCTCTCCAGGCAAGAAGCAGTCCTAGGTCAGTAATAGCTTTCCTTGAATAAAAATGTCAAACTTTAAAGTCCTCTATATCACATTTGGCGGAGCTATGAATAGGAGCGTTATATCACTGGGACGCGGAGAAGACCACTTTGCTAATGGGACTCGCCACTCATGTCTAGACCTGGAAGTGTCCAAGATGTCAGACTTAAGACCACTTACATTTTATGGCTGGGAGAAGCTTTGGCTCATTTTGATCTGTGGCCTCAGACAGGGAGAGCAGCTCCCCTGAACATCATTCCCTTGTCTGCTCCTGCAAAGCAGAGCAGCACATTCCCACTCCTAGCCACATATCTTCCCTTGCCACATCTGCTTGCCTGGAAGATCTGCTTGCATAGTGCTCCCTTCGGTCTCCAAGTACATTCCACAGTTCTGTATACATTAGCCTTGCATTTAGGCAAAAAAAAAAGGGCATTATCCGTTTGTGCTTTTGCATTCTCATGCACACATAAAAACCAGTTTGACTATGTTGACACATAGGTTAATTCCATTACTGGGGTTAAGTGGAAGTATTTCCCACTCATTATATATATATATATATATATATATATATATATATATATATTCATATTCTCCAGTTCAATATGTTGGTCCCCCCAATTTTCTTCAGATTTGAAGGGGACATAAATTGTTGGCTAGGGTAACAAAGGCATCATCTTCCATATTCTTTCTTCACTTTACAGTAGCATGGGATAGCATTTACGAATGCACACGTAGTACAGAGTTTTGTATTTGTCTTTGAAGTTTTCAATTCAAATCCCTTCTTTCAATTCAGCTCCTCCCAGAGTTGTTGTGAACAGAAAAGGGAAAGCTCCACATGCACCTTAGGAAGAAGACCGGGAGACAAATGTGACGAATAAATAAAACCAGGTGAAGTGCAAATGCTTGCCTAGTTTGGCAATTTGGGCTGCAACCCTATGCACTGTTACCTGAGAGCAAGCCCCACTGATCTGAACTAGCCTTGTGTCTGAGTAAGCATACATACAACCAGGCTGCATAGAATCACACGGCATTCACTGTATACATCAATGAAAGCAGCAACAGAAACAGGAAAGTCAACATAACTCACAATGGAAACCTTCCTTAATGGCAGATCTCATGCATGTGGTTTTATATACTTTTGCTGCTGGACCTGTCAAGGCTTTTATGTTTGTGTCGTGGCTGCTTACTACCTTAAAGGAAAGTCCGTAAAACAAATCCCCCATGAAGCAAGTGAAAATATAGCTTCTTTGACAACTGACGAGGTCATTGTCTCGAGGATGATCTGTGTCCGTCAGAGCTCTGCAGGTTTTGTTTGGTGTGTGTCTGTATTCGTTTTAACAGAGTAGCCTGTCAGAGCCCCATTTTTCAATGATGCAAGTCTCTCCCCACACAGACACACACACACAAAAAAGCAAAAAAAAAGCACCTGATAACGCTCTAAATAACAGGTGAGTGACTTCTGGTAGGAAGGAGATTGTCTGACCTCATTGTTTGCCTTTTCTCTCTCCCTCTTTGTTCTTCACAAATAAAGGTTTTTTAATAAACTGAAAGGTCCTCCGCTCCTGGCTGATGATAAAATGAAAGGAACCAGTGAGGTATGGTACAACGTGGCAGCAAAAAAAGAGAAGCTCATCAGAAAATAACAAAGGTGCAAGTTAAAGATAAGGCAGCTGTCAGAGATTAATCCTGCTGGCCTGATTGTTTTCTTTAATACCAAGGCCTGCAATAGCAAGCGATAAGTTTGCTGAGTAATTTGGTTTTGGGTGAGGAAATAAAATTCAGGTAAGACTCATAATTGATTTCCTTTTCTTTAGTTTTCTAAACATTAAACAAAAAAAACCCCCATCCTCAACCTGCTTTGACTATCCCTTCATCCGTTGGCTTCCCAGCTGCACACCCATGGACACGTTCTCTTGCTCTCATCTTCCAAAGACCCTGCTGAAGGTGAGAAAAGGAATCTTCCATAGAACTGGCACCCCAGTCACACCACACAAACAGCCAGAGACGTTGAGCCGCAGCTTCAAGGAAAGAACAATGCATCTCCTTGGTTGTTTTCTCCATGTTCATTTTCACAGATTTGGGGAGAAGACTATTGCAAGGTGACAAAATGAAGGTGGAAGTGAAAGGCGTTTCACAACACAACTATGGAGAAGATGCTGAGTGCTGTGGAAGTGACCAATAACTAGAAGTTACAAGGCCTCAATGATAACGCCGACCTGCATCTATGACATGTGGGTGAAATTCAACTCACATTTTAATCAGAGTAGACCTAATGAATGGGCCCAACTTGGTAATGTTCAATCAGCTACCACCCTACGTCTCCCTGGCATTATCCAGTAAAACTGGCCCATGACTTGGTAAAAGTTTATTCAGAGTCCCATCCCTCATAAGAACTTAGGATGAGTCCATCTGAACCAGTCTAGCATTTTCATCTCACATTGTATAACCAGATACTTTTGGGAAACCTGTGAGGGCTTGAATGCAGAGGCACTCTTTTCACATGTGACTCCTAGTGACTAGTATTTAGAGGCATGTGGCTTCTGACAGTGGAGGCACAGCATAGCTATCATAGACCTCTCCAGAGTCCAGGTTGGCTCTTAGCTATGTCAATTCCTAATCTCACCCTCCCTTTCTCTCCTTAGCACACACTCATGCCCATAATTGCACCAGTAGACTGTTCCCATGGGGTTCCAACCTGGCACTGCCACCAGCAGTGCATTCTGATTGCCATATTCCAGGACCTACCTGTGTCCACAGTGGAGACCCGAGACCTGATGAGACCTCCTCTGAAGATGGAGAAGCAGAACTTTGCCGCAGTCTCCAGCTCAGACTATGACATTGGCTTCACTATCCTGGAATAATTGTGATGGAAACAGATCATTCTGTGTAGCAAAAACACCCCTTTCATATAAGACATGCAAAACCTAGAAACAAAACTTGGCAATGAGAAAGCTGAGCTATATTTGTGGCAAAACTCTCTCTGTGTCTGTGGGTGGGTGGGTGTGTAGCAGGCTGTGTACACACACACGCACACACAGCTTCAGCATCAGCCAAACCTTATTTATTGTGACAAAACGAACAGCCCCCAGGATGCTCATCCAGCAGCTAATTTCTCATCTTATCTATTATGTGAATGAGATAGGAAAACAGTTTCCTGTTTCTCACAGATATCGCAAACATGAAAGATACAGAATGAATTCCCTTGAAAGCCATGCAGTCAGATCCATCCAGACTCATTTGTTTCAATGGGAGGAATTAATGCCGTCAGGGCTGCTTGTTGATGGGAAATAAGTCTATAAACCTCTCTATAGAAGCAACCTCTAAAATGCTGAGGAGGTTGACAGACACTTTGTTATCTGTTTATTAAATACGGTGCCTGAAGATATTGTTACCATGTCACACGGAGGTAGGAGAGATACCTTTCTGCTGCTGCAACTCACTCGTACCTGCGCCGCAAGGCTCTGATGCTAGCACTGGAATATACATGTGGCTTAGATTGTGGTTTCTTCTTCTCTTTCCTTCTGGTCCAGGCACAGTAATAAAGAAGGGATTGCACACTGTATGTACCCAGATAAAAACTAAGAATTTAGAGAAATAGTCACATGCAACAGCAACAAAAAGAAAATGTGTGCTATGATCCTCTCTTCTCTTTAAGAACTAGACCTCTGTGATCAATACTTCAGCATCATTAGTTTGGAAAGCCGTTAGCCTGTTGGCTATGTATTTGGACACCTCTTAATAAATCGTAACCCAATTTGGCATGATGGTTCCTGAGATCAAGGAACAAGTTTTTCGTCTATATCTGGATATAATTTTGAATCAAGATGGTGGGCTGAACAACACTTATTTTATTCACTGATTCCAAAACTATGCTATTTTTTGTGTGTTTCATAACATGCCTGAGGCTGCTAGTAAGATATAAAGATAACACAACACAAAAGCTTGAGTGTTTTGTGGGGGAAGGTGGCCACACACTTTAAACGTGTTTTGTTTTTTTTCCCTGCCAGGTAAATTGATATCTCCCCTCCACGTTGTGCTTATATCTCTGAGAACCCAGCTGTCAAACTGCATGGTGGTGGCACTTTTCAAAGGCAGTTCTCCCAGCCACTGTTATTGAGTCTGCTGCTGTGTGTGTTGTTGTTGTACGGCCGTCATAGGCACCTACTGGTTCTACTTAGACACTATTAACAGCAAGAGATGCTTCTTCTCTTCCACTATGGCTGCGCAACCCTGGTAGTGGCTGTAAAGGGTTGGGGGGGTAGCTGTAATTGTGTTTAAAACTCTATTTAAAGATTCAGTTTGTAATATTTCTGAACAATTAGTTTACACACACACACAAACAAAAAATATTTCACAGAGGTGTGTCTCCTCTATAATGAAAACATACCGTACCTAAAGCATATATCCACATCTCTTCAAACATCCCCCCCCAATACAGAAATTCATTAAATCAAATACTCACAAAATATGAAAACAGAGACCAAATGTTGGGGTTGGGGAGTATGTTCCTTTATTTAATGGCTAATTGCGTATATAACCACTTACAGAGGAAGAAGAATTCCAATGCGTTGAAGAGTCTTTTAAGGATGACCACATATGTCCGGATTCCCATATGGCGGGGAAGTAAACATTGTGCCCTTCAGATGATGTTAAACTCCAATACCCTTTACCCTAAACCAGTATGACAAGAGTTACAGAAGGCATTCGTCTGTGATAGCCTTTTAAAAAGGCAAATAAATAAATGTAAAAATCTAAATAAACAGGTGAATAAGTGTAAGGATAACTCCCTATCCATCCCAGCCAAGTCTCACCCAATAAAGAACTTCCTGTTCTTTTTGTAAGTGGTAAAGAGGCATTCCCCTGCAGAAAAGCAATCCTGCTGTAAGAAGGCTGCACCAGCCCCACAATGTTATGTATGACCTGTGACCAGACTAGTGCTTCAGTCTGCAATCCAACCCCTTCTTGTGCCAAGTGAGGAGGAAGGGTTCCACAGAGCAGCAGACAATTTGTACTATTGTTCTTCCTGATTCCTGGCTAGGAGCTACCATAAAGCACAAGTTATAAGGAGGAAGACATGAGGTAGAGGAGAAATTTGCTCCAAATGCAATCTTATTAGCTGGTCCTCAACATATATGTGTGTGGATTAGAATGGTACTATCTCTGGGTGCGTATGTGGTTTTTTGTTTTTGCAATGCAGCATTTGTTTTATAATGCATACAATGATGTGTCTTTTCTTTATTATTTTATTATAGTACAGCCCACCCTTCACCAAATGGTACCAGGGTGGGCTACAAAAATAGAAGAATTCAATTAAGCACAATGCACAATTAAAATCATAAAAATTAAAAACAACCCACAAAATAACCAGAACCAGAATAACAAATCAGCTGTGCAGAACAGTGCACAGCAATGCAGGAATGATGTGTTTTCTTTCATGGCTAAATGCATACAGGAAGGAATATTTTAAGGA